GGTACTAATTAGTACATTTTAGGTACATTTTTTTAGTAAGTGGTATAATTTAATTCGCGATGGTACACCCGCCATTTTGACTCTCACCGATTGGTGGCGCTCCCCCGCGCGCCCTTGCACCTCGTCTTCCCCGATGTCGCCTTACACGTCATTAACAGTAGGCCTCAAGTTATTCTAACCAATCTGTGTAGAAAAAACTATAAAAGAGAAAATTGCAGATTGTAAACTGTAAGACATAAAAAAAATCAAACAAGAATATCTCTAACAATGAGAGTGGTTATTAGTTGATGTTATCTCATTACCTGTATGGACAGAATATATAGAAAATGCACTGAAAGGATGGCGCTAGTGTGCTAATTTAGTTTCACTTATGACCACCGAGACAGTCATGTCGATTATTTTTTTATAGTAATCAATTCCAATAGTCATTTCTAAGCCGGTAGAAATGGTATTGTGTATAGATCGCTTGTTCAATTTAATTTGATCATATTTTTTATGATTTCTAACTTATCAAATCTCAACAAATAGAGAGACTATTCAAGTAATGAAAATGACTAAACAACACATTTCCAGTAAAGTCATATCTATACTAATATTATAAAGAGGAAAGATTTGGATTTTTGTATTTATTGGAATAACCCAAAAACTACTGGGCCGATTTTAAAAATTCTTTCACTATTAAAAAGGTAATTTATCTGTTAGTAATATAGGCTGTTTTTTTAATTTCACGCGGACGAAATCGCGATTAACAGCTAGTTTGTAATAATTCTGTTGGTTACGTAACTCTGTATAACAAAGTATTTAGCATAAAACTTAATGTGATGTCTGTACTTAGAATTAATTGTGATGTTTTATGAGCCACATAATTATGTAACATTGTGATTTTCTCGTTATTGTAAAATTACATTATTTGAATATAAAAAATACGGTCAGAGTAATTAAAACAGTAAAATCACCTCGTTCTCAGCGCTCGTTTGCCAACTTCTCTATAATAAATGCTCGAAAGTAACCTTTTCAGATGAAATATTCATTCTTCTGTTGTATTTAATTTAAAACACTAACAAAACTCTGTTCACATGGTAACATTTAGTAATAACTTGTGATGCACTACACTGACACTTGCACTGTTCCGTGTGGTGTGGGGTGCAGGGTGCTGGGTGCTAGGTGCGGGGTGGCTACCCGCCCCCGTGCGGCGTCCACTCGGCGTTGCTGAGCAGGTCCTTGGTGGAGAGGTCGCGCAGGCTGTCGCTGAGGTCCGCGCCGCACATGGGGAAGGACAGGTCGGAGCTGAGCCGCAGCTCCTCGCCCTCCCCCGCGCCCTGCCCCAGCAGCTTCGACAGCGAGGGAGTGCTCGTTGACGTCGCCTCCAACTCCTATAAACACATTTTTAATATAGTTGTCAGATATACTCATAATTACACGCAATCCACACAGAACACAATTTTAGAGGACATGTGTAGCGAAAATATTTCTCATTTAGCTATATTATGATAACAATCATTGTCATTAATTTATCAAATTAGCGATAATAGTTTAAAAAAATAAACGAACCTGTATTAGAGCCTGCTGACCCATGTTCTGCATATACTGCCCCTGGCCGTGATTCAGCTGCGGGGACACATGTCCCATGCCGGGAGAGACATGACCCATAGCGGGGGACACGTGTCCCATGCCAGGAGACACGTGTCCCATACCAGGGGATACATGTCCCATACCGGGGGATACATGTCCCATACCGGGGGATACATGTCCCATACCGGGGGATACATGCCCCATAGCTGGGGATATGTGTCCCATGCCGGGGGACAACTGGCCCATCCCCGGGGAGTGGTGTCCCATGAGCTGGTGGTGCGAGATGGCGGGGGAGTGCGGGGACTGCATGCCGGGCGAGTGCGGCTGCAGCTGGGGCGCGGGCTGCAGGTAGTTCTGGTCCATCCAGGTCATGCCCTGCGCCGGGTACTGCGCCCCCGCGCCCAGCCCCGCGCTCGGCCCCGCCACGCCCAGCTGCGGCATCTCCATACCCCACTGCTGACAATCACACTCATCATCATCACCTCACTGTACATCTCCCCGAGAGGTTCGGAGTCTACCATGAGTTAAGACTGGTCACCCCATTGACACCTTGCTTCATAGGATTTCTGTACATCCTACACCTACCTAACATTAGGTAGATATCATACTAATATATAATGCGAAATTTTAGATGGACAGATGGATGTTTGTTAGAGTTTGTAGCCTAAACGGCTGAACGAATTTCGATGAAATTTGGTATAGATGTAGCGGATATTATGGGTGAACACATATTCAATTTTCTTTTTTTTAATTCCACGCGGACGGAATTGCAGGCGAAAGCTAGTTCACTCATAAATGCAATAATGCCGTGGGCGTTGCTAGAGGGCAGTAGCCCCTCCTTAGTATACAACGGATATAAAAACACTTCGAATCGGAACATATCGTTAGGTAATCGTCTAGACTTCATCTAGACGACGCCCACAGTACTACTAGATACTAGGTACTTCTATCTATCTTCTTACGTTCTTACCTGGTCGTAGACCGGGTAGACCTGCTGCGGCGGACTGCGCACGTAGCTCGGCGACTCTGTGACAAATTTGATTATTAACACAATATTAACTTAAAACACCTAACCTCAGAAACTACGATAATTTTCCCTATAGGGCCTTAATAGTATATTATTTTAATGCGAAATTATAACTAAAAAAACACGACTATTTATTTGAGGTCGGTATATTCGAGCCTTTTAAAGCCTTCATCAGCAAAAATTGTCATTATCTTGAACAAGGACCCTTAGGGGTCCAAATTAGTATGTTGATTCTGTAAAAGTTACATATGTTCTAAAATATCTTATGAACATTGCTTATAACTTAAATGTAAATATTTTTATTTCATGACTAGCTGTTGCTCGCGACTTCGTCGATGTCAAATTATAAAATATAGCCTATGTTACTCACAGATAAATAACCTTTCTAACGGTAATTTTTTTTAAAATCGGCCCAGTAGTTTTTGAATTATTTCAATGAAAAAATACAAATCTCAAATATAGATAATAGGGCCTCACCTCGGGGCTCCGTCTTGATCTGTCCGCCGACGTCCATTTTGAAGGTAACTGCAACACAAACAATGTAATTACAATACTAAAAATAACATCTAAACTAAAACATTGTACAAGTAAAAAATAATCATTGAATCAAACATCAGCCCTATATTCCCTAAAATATTTAATTGCCTTCAAGTTTATGAAAAAATGTACCAAAATATTCATTTACTTATTTAGAGAATATAAGTGATTCTTACAAACATAAAATTAAAAGCATAACATGCAGTTAATCTAGCGTAGTTATCTACAGCTAAATAAAAACATGCACAAAACTTAACGCTAATACGACAATGTGTGTCACAACAAAACCAAAAACAAGCTTCGATAGAATTAAAAAAACAAGTTACACAACAAAAAACGTAAAAAAACACTAGCACAAACATGCCTAATGTTCTGAGTTCCGTACCTTCAAGCCCCAATTCAAGGGTAACGAGATATTAAGAAAAAGAAAACATTTCTTTTATTTCAGTAGCATTTTAATTACATATCCTTGCAACACTCAAGCCTCCTGTCAAAAGTTATACAAAAATGTAAATTTCATCGAAATGGAGCGGAACAAATTCACATCGGACGTACTCGTAAAAAAACAATTCGAAAATCCCATCACCTAATTAAATTAGTTGTAAAATCTTCTAAATCTAAACATGTCTAGAAAATTTGTAACATATTTTTAAAAATAACAATTCCTTTTAGATATTATAAACAGTTTATAACCCTGAATATTTTACACTTATAGTTGCCATTAGAAAATATCTACCATTCTTAGAGATTTGGTAAAAAATAACTACACAAAGCCTTGTAGAAAGCTTTAGCTTTTATAATAATATTGTACTAATATTTAGTACAGAAAAATTAGTTTAAACCTTGGCATATAATACATTAGTTACACAATTTTATCTTCTTTAGGGGCCTGTCCCATAACTGGCTGATAGAGGCTCAGATAGCTTAAAAACGTCACAGGTAAGGTAACAAAATCCGATATTTCTATCACATATTTTACACATTGGATCAGACAATTTACAATTTGGTGGGACAGGCCCTTATTGTTTATTTCTTAAAAGCTACAATTTAATTGTACAATATGAGAGCCCACTTCTCTGTTCTTCGGACACACATTACCATATTAGCAATAATATGTATCAAACATTATTTTTTGTACTTTAAAAGACTTAAATAGCAAAAAAACACCTATTTTGTTTAAAATAATAAATATAACGAATATAGTAAACCTTTTAAATAACGAAACCAATCTAGAAATATTAAAATATAAAGAATTATGACCTTGAAAAACGAATCCAACTATAAAATCATTTAATTAAATTCCGCACAATCATTTCCTACCAACATATAACAAAAAATTGACTATATTTTTTTAAATAAAGCAAAAATATTATACCTAACTAAACAAGACATTAATGTTAGTACGAAAACTGCCACCAGAACTACCCTATAGACAAAACAATCACCAAGTTCCCATTATTAAAACACTTGTAATTAAATATGACATTTGTCTTTGGTGAACCAGAGACAATGAAATATGTTAATACATGATATACCCGACCATAGACAAACAAAAAAATCCCCTCAACATATAACATATTTATATATATTTTTATATCTAAAAGCACATCTGTAAAATAAACCTTCCAAAGATAAATATATAAAGATATACAAGACAATAAACTTACTATTCTGTGCGAAGGGAGACAATGGCTTCTTTCGCTTTACTACATCTAAAAAATAAAACAAACATTACGTAACGAAAATGCAACAAAATTAAATTATAATATGCAATATAATAAAATAAATTAAAAACAATTACAGTAGAACTTCGATAAGTTAAAGTGCAAGGGAAACACAAAATATTTTAAGTTATAGAGGTTTTAAGTTATCAAGGGTCTATGTTATAAAGGTTTAGGGCTCTGATGGGAAGGGAACATTATTTTTTGAAGTTATGGAGGTTTTTAAGTTACCGAGGTTTGAGCTATCGAGGTTCTACTGTATAATAATTTATTGGTAACGTAACATTTCCACAGGAATAAACAACTTAAAGTAATTTAAACATTCGTAAGACAAACTAAATAAAATCATGAATAAGAGAGTGTGAGGAGCGGCGATATTTTTCTCGTTTCTAGAAGTTCCTTTCAAACCACTCTCACCTAACTGAACTATCGCACCACTGTGCGATTGTCGCTTTGCAGCCCATTCAACTGTTTGGTTGCACAACTAAAAATCGAGTAGTATACCTCCATATAAGGTCATAGGAACCAAAGCGAGACTACACAGTTGTGCGATATTTTAGTCAAAGATGCGCGTGCATTTCATGATCTTTTGACCGGACAATGTCTCTGTTAGTGAGGTTTTCACTTATTCAGTTTTAGTTAACATCGACTTGTCTATTCTGGCACCAACTGGTTTGGAACCTTTTGGGGCCTTTCTTTAGTTAAATATCCCACTCTCAATGGCTCCAAAATGTTTCCGACACTTGACGTCAGTGTTGCCGTTTTATTATTGGTATTTCCCTAATTTATGGTCGTAAATGTTAGAATATTGACATAGATAAATGGACTAGAATAGAAGTTTCGAGAGTTTAGCCCATTTCTATTCGTGTACTAACAAATAGGATAAATCTCTCGTATTTGCTAAAATTATTGTAAATTCGCTTACAATTGGACTAGAAATATAATAGCTAGATTTAAGGAAGATATAATAAGTTACATACAGAGACAAACGTTACAACTTTAATTATTCCATGTGATGGAAGTTTAAAGTTTCACCAACGTAACGTTTCTTGTACGAAATTATGATGATACCTTACATATAACTTGTATGTTATTAATGTGGTTGTTGTGTTGTGTATTGTTTTGTGTTTTTCGTGATTCGAGTCGATTGTTTTCGTGTGTTTTGATGAGTTCAACGCTCGTAGCGGAACAGTCGCCGATGTGGTGGGCGAGGGTGGGGGGAGG